GATTCCTAATTGGGGAAGGGAAATTGAGGCAAGGTGATCGTACTAGTAGAAGACAGAACAGGTCCAGCATTGTTATATGTTGGGTAGGTTAGCAGGAGGAGATATAGTAAATGTAGTTCTACCTTGCATCCAGATGAAGCCTAGGGTGCATCGTCCAATCCATCCAGGTGGCAGCCAAGGCCATAAGTTGGAGCCACATAGCCACTGAGTGCCGTTAGGGGCTAACCAACATATGCTGGGCCGTCTAGCCCAGTCAGTCCCAAGCAAATTGGGTTTCTTTTTCCTTTTTCTCCCCAAAGGCCCCCGGTACATAGTTGTGTATTTTTAGTTGTGGGTCCCTCTAGTTGTGGCATGTGGGATGCCGCCTCAGCATGGCCTGATGAGCGGTGCCATATCCATGCCCAGGATTCGAACCAGTGAAACCCTGGGCCACTGAACTGGAGCGCTCGAACTTAACTACTTGGCCATGGCACTGGCCCCTCAATAATATTTCAAACAAAAGTCATAAAAATTAGGGGCTGGCCCCGTGGCCGAGTGGTTAAGTTCACGCGCTCCCCTGCAGGCGGCCCAGTGTTTCGTTGGTTCGAATCCTGGGCGTGGACACGGCACTGCTCATCAAACCACGCTGAGGCAGCGTCCCACATGCCACAACTAGAAGGACCCACAACGAAGAATATACAACTATGTACTGGGGGCTTTGGGGAGAAAAAAACAAATAAAATCTTTAAAAAAAAAGTCATAAAAATTATGACCATCCTCATCGGTTCATACAGACCTGTATAATAGATTCTTGATCTTAATCTTCTGTTAGCAGTTTTATGAGGTCATCAGTTTCTCTGTAGATTTCTGTAATTTCTTACCCAGTTCAGTTTTACAATCTGAAAGTTTATCAGAAACCTGTATTCTGGAATCCTGTGTTAGAATCCTTTCCAGGGATTTCTCTGAAGACGAAACATATGCGAAAGCAAAAAGCATCAGAGTAAAACAGCAACTATCTGCAAATGACACAAGACTCAAAAGGGCAATTAACAAATAAAGTTGGCTACTTTTGCAACATCAAGATAATAACTAGAATTATGGCAGACAACAGGACAGATCAGAATTTTAGGAATGCTATATAATTTTAAAACATTTATATCAATGACATTCACCCATGTAATACCACCTAAGAAAGTTTATCATCACTTATTTGACAATGCTTCCCATGTAATTTAACAGACCAAATAAGTCTAATAAGTTTAGTATCTTCTTCTTAGAGGAAGAGAGAGCAAATTTCTTTGAGAAGTCTCAGGGGATCTCTGAAAAAATCCTCATAGATATTTTCTTCCTTCTACCAGGTCAAAAGAAAGCCTTCATTCAGGATTTGAATTTTTTTTCCCTCTCTCCAAAGCCCCCCAGTACATAGTTGTATGTTCTAGTTGTGAGTGCCTCTGGTTGTGCTATGTGGGATGCCACCTCAGCACGGCCTGATGAGCGGTGCCATGTCTGCACCCGGGATCTGAACCAACAAAATCCCGGGCTGCTGAAGCGGAGCACGTGAACTTAATCACTCAGCCACGGGGCCGACCCCAGGATTTGAATTTTTTTTTGACTGAGAAGCTTGTCAAAAATATCAAAAGATTTTAAAACACTTCTTCATATAGGAAACAATGCTCACTGCAAAACAATGCTCGGGTATCTATTCAAAGTGACAACAGAAACAGTCAAAAAAATCTTCAGAGACCTCAGTCCTTCTGAACACAGGAAGTTATTTTAGCAAAACATAGATTGTCTGTCTTTTAGCTAGACTTAGAGCAGGCCAAAAGTTCAAGAAAATTATCCTTTGAGAGAAAACCCAATTTTAATTTTTGCACCAGCTTATTTTAACATTAAAACTCATTTACTTAATTGGACTTACTTTAATCTTAGTCTAATTGACCAGCATAAAACTCCTTTTTGAATTTCTTTCACAAACCTTCTGGGGCCAGCCCCATGGCTGAGTGGTTAAGTTCGTGTGCTCCGCTGCAGAGGCCCAGGGTTTTGCCGGTTCTGATCCTGGGTGCTGACATGGCACCACTCATCAAGCCATGCTGAGGCGGCATCCCACATGCCACAACTAGAAGGACCCACAACTGAAAATACGCAACTCTGTACCAGGGAGTTTGGGGAGAAAAAGGAAAAATAAAATCTTTTTTTAAAAAAAACCTTCTACAACTTTCTTTTTACATTCAGAATTTGTCCCATGCTTGCTCTATCCCCTTCTAGTACTTTAGGACAGATTTATCTTTCTTAACCCAACAAACAAGAACACTTCCATTCTTTATACCTTCTTTACTGAAAACATACATTTTAATTTCCTTGTATACAGAGCTGTTTTCCTTATTAATTTCCAATAGCTTTAACTACATATATTAATTTAAAAAAAATTTTTTTTGAGGAAGATTAGCCCTGAGCTAACATCTACTGTCAATCCTCCTCTTTTTGCTGAGGAAGACTGGCCCTGAGCTAACATCCGTGCCCATCTTCCTCTACTTTCTATGTGGGACGCCTTCCACAGCATGGTGTGCCAAGCGGTGCCTTGTCCGCACCTGGGATCCAAACCGGCGAACCCCGGGCCGCCGAAGCGGAACGCGCAAACTTAACCACTGTGCCACCAGGCTGGCCCCTAAAATTTTTGACCCTTAACAGACCTATTAAAAACTGAAAAACTAAGCAATTATGAACTGTCTTTTATATCAGCATCCTAAACACTTTTCATAATTTCTAGAAACATGCTACTTCACAGTAGTAAAACACAGTTATGTTTACTAATAGACTCAAACATCCTTTAGCCTCTCTGCAATAAGAAGCCAAAAGCAGATAACCTAGACGTGTTCAGCAATAATGTTTTGGTGTTCCATTCTATCCAAAAATGGCCCAGATACTCAACAGATTTTTATCATTTAACTTAACTTGGCAAAATTCAAGATTGTTACCAAAAAGAATTTGGAAGCTATTTTTTTCCCCCAAGTATACAGACCATAAAACAGTTATTGTACCCACAGACTCTTACCCATTTTCATCTATCTAAATTATTTGTTTCCAACAATTATGTTCATATTACCCACGAAAACTTCATGAGACGTTAGACAAAATTAGCCATCATTTAAAGTTATTATTTTGCTGATGAATTTCTGACAACGTGAGCTTATTTGACTAGTCAACCCAAGTTGCATGCCTGCATCATATCCAAATACCGACAACTCTGACAACATGCCTATTTCAATCAAACCAACAAACTTAAAACAAGCTTTCATTTACCAAGGGTTAACTGATTATCATGTTAACTTGAAAGACATTGGGTTAATTTCTACTACATTTAGAATTTATGTAAGCGCTTACTTTAAGGCAATTAAACAGAGCGCTTAGTTTTGGTCATACCATTCAGAGGCAAAATACCACACACATATAACATACATGAACACACATACACAGAATCTCCACTACTGTTGTTTTAAAATTACTGCCATGAATCAGGTACAGTAATATAAAGCTCCCTAATTATGAATACAAATTTTGTTTTAAGCCTTTTTACCAATACTTGTGGAGAAGACACTCAAGATGCTAGATTTTTTGGCAAGGGCACAATTATGGCCATTTTTTCCTTTTTCCCTTTTTTTCCCTCGGTCTTAGAAATCAGTGATGGGCTAGATAGTCCCCAGAGGATTTGCATGCTCTTTGAGATAAGGGAAGTGGGTGGAACCTGAACTGCCTCTACAGCTGCTTTTCCAGTCTTACAAGGATTTTCCAAGGACAGTTGCTCTTGGTTTCTCAGGAACTAGGTTTTAACTCAAATGACATTATGGGTTGATCTGCCTGTTTAACTATATCACAAAGGCACAGAGAAACCCCTCAAGTTTTCTCCCAGATGGAGTTTCTGGGGCATAACCCATCCAATTGAAAGTGTTTCCAATTAATTAAAATGCACCCAAGAGGTGAGTCTCTGGGGATGCTTGGGGCATTCCCCACGGTGGTAAAGCCAGTGTCTAACTGACTGTGGCTGGAGAAAGGGTGCAGAGCCCGACTGCAGGTGTCAACATAGTTATAAGATTTAGTCAAGTCCCACCCCGCCTGGGCATCTAGTCCCTGAGCCAGCACAAGGCAAGCCAGGGATGCAGGAGGCAAAGGCCTGGAGCTGGCTGGGGACTGGGTCTCCCAGTGCCAGGGTTGAGAGTTAAGTCCCTGGCCAAAGCTTTTCAAGTTTTCAAACTTACAGAAAGTCCAGGTTCTGCTCAGGTCCAGCCTGAACTTAACCTTGACTTGGTGACAACAGAGGAGGTGATGAATGAAACAGACAAAGAAAGGAAGAGATCAGGCCTTGCCCTCATGGCCTCTCCCCAATGGTTATCAAGGTAAGAGTTACACAACAGTTCCATGCTGGGACACACAACCCCAGCAGGACTGTTCACAGAATGAATCACAGGTCTCCTATCCTCATAACCGACTCAGTAGGTGACTAAAATACTCAACAACTCAACCGCCAAGAGAGGGCACCCCACTTGAGGTCACTGGAGTGATCAGGCCCAGAAACCAAAGTGGGGGCTCCAAGGGGTGGAGCCTTTGACTCTTTAAAGATTTCTTTGTTTCTCAGTGGAAAAGCTCAAAAGGAGACCAAAATGGCCTCTGTAACTCTAAGAGAGATGAAAGAAAAGGGTCCATTACCTTGAAAATCGCTCCTGAACCTAGGGCAGCATCCTACCCGTTGTTCCTCCTGTGGGGTTCCTGTAGGAAGGGGTGATGGGGGCTTCCCCCTGCATTGCATCCCTTGTATATCTTCCCTACTATGCCTGGCAGTAATAGGTGCCTGGTGAATGATCCCAGAGAGAAAAGAATAGAGATAAACAGAGAAGAATTTTCCACCGGTCCAGGGGACTTCTATCCAATTGTGTCCTGGAGCGGTTCTCCCAAGAATGTGTTCCCATACTAAACCAAAGGTTAGAGTTTGGTACTTTCCTTGAACCAGAGGCCCACTTGGGATTTTCCCGTGGTTTGGAGTGTGGTCAGGAGCCATAGGGAGGGATACCAATCCAGCCTTAGGAAAAGAAACCTGCCACAGGAGTCTTGGAGATTGGTGACCGTCCTAATGACTTAAGTGGTCAACCACTGCCCATGTAAAATTTATATATTAGAGATAGGATTAGGAAGGAATGGATTAATTCATTCTTCATCACCCTCAGGCTTAAGGTACTGATTCTTTTCAGGCTGAATGCCATGATTTGCCCCATAGAGTAGCCATGGGCAGCAAACCTGGATTCATACAGCTGTCCGAGAAGGTTCCAGAAAGAGAAGTGAATTTAGATCCATCCTTGAAAAAGAGGAAGGCACAAGGAAGAAAAGTGCACTTACCAGAACTTAAGCTCACAAGCCAATGAAGCAAGATCCCCATATGGGCCACCAGAAGAAATGATGAGGACCTGGTGAGTCGAGGAGTCGAAAGAAAGATTTCTTGGACTCTCAAGGTCTGGCAGTGGTGCTCCTTTATTCAGAGAATAGCGTGGAATAGCATGAGTACAGGACTCTTGGGCAGTGAAGAGCTGCAATGGGTTGAGGGTTAGGGTTAAACTTATAAGGCATAGGTATGTGAGTTATTTCTTTATAAGACAAAGGAAAGATTATGTAAAAAAAGTCATTAAAGTGGTATCAGTGCAGGTGGGGGTCTGGTTATTGGGTGGTCCTATAACTTTGGATACGAGTCAGGTCAGGATGTCCTAAGCTTCCAGGAGGATGACACAGATGGATACGTAGGGCAGGACACCTTGGCCTTCTCGCCCTGGGGCAGCCTTGATCCTCATCGTCTTCCATCCCTCCCTCTCTCTCTCTGACTCTAACTCTTCATTTTATTTTCTTGCCCCATTTCTTTCTCTGTCTCTCTCTACAGTTTTTCACTGCCCTTCCCTGTTTTACTCTCTCTCTCTCAATCTCTCTCTGCCTACCTCCCTCCCTATTTCTCTGTCTCGTTTTTTCTGCCTTTCCATCTCTATGGGTTTCTCTCTGTGCTCTCTTCCCACTCTCTCCTTCCCTCTTTTTCCCATTTCTCTCTTAATTTCTCTTCCTTTTCTCTCCCTCTCTCTCAGTTTTCCTCTGTCTTTCTGTCTCTTTGTGTTTTTTGGTTTCTCTCCTCCTTTCCTCTTCTCCCTCTCATTCATTCCCTCTTTCTCTATCTCTCATTCTTTTTTCTTTGTTCCTCTCCTCATGCGTTTCTCTTCCTACCTCTTTGCTCTCCTCCACACCCTGACCCCAGGCCCAAGACCTGTGTACCTCGCCCTTTCCTGTTCACATTTTCCCAGCCATGACCTCATTTCATGCTTACAACCCCTGCCCCTCCCTAAGGAGACAGGCAGGGTAGGGCTGCTCATCCCATTGAGGCCCCAAAAGAGAAGTGACTTGTGGGGAGTCATACAACAGAACAGGGAAGAAGCCAGGTCAGACTTCCCCTGGCATGTAGGTGAGACAGGAAGAGACAGGGCCATCTGCAAGGCCCCTGGCCTAACAAGATAAGGCCCCTAACCAATTGGCAAGCTAGGAGAATCAGATAGAGCCCACCAAGATCCACATTCTGCAGCCTCCAGACCTCCCTGGGTTTACCCATGTGCCCTAGCACCCAGACGTCCACTGCAGGTGACCCTAGCCCCATTAGCATAGTAAGCATCACACCCAGGGGTGGAAATCTAGCATGCTAATGACACATGCATCACATGCAGTAGCATGCTACATGACAACACAGGCACAAGCACAACCCCACCGCTACAGGCCATGACAAGTCACTCCTCCCCAGCTTTTGCCTAATAAAAGCCCCACAATCCTCTTACCTAACGAGCTGGTCACCTGACCCTTTCCTTTCCACACCAACTCCCTTGTGCCTCTCCTGTGCACAAGCTAATCAACTTTTACTTTTCTACTCCCGTTTGTTGTCTCTCTTGATTTCCATCCCGGGGAACGATAAGAACCTAATGTGCCGGCAACGTGGAGAGTGCCTCCTCTGGCCCTGGGAGACTCTTGGCTCCCCCAAAGCCTCCCTCACGGCCTTCCTCCCACTGCCCAGAGGGTCCCCTCCCTCTGCTCTTTGGGGATAGCCTTCCTGGTCCCACCCAGAGGGCTCTCTGAAGCTCTCTGTGCCAGGAGAATGGTGCAGGCAGTGCCTAGCTCCAGAACATTCTGTGTTCATTCAAAAACAGTTACTGAGTGTCTACTATGTGCCAGGCACTGTGTAAGGCCCTGGACAGAGGGAGGAGAGGAGAGAGCATGCACAAGATGGGGGATGGAGAGGGAACTCATCCCCAGGGGTAAGGGATCTGGCAGCCGGAGGAACCAGGGCCTGCGTATCAGTTGGGTCCCCTAGAAAGCCGCCACCACCAAGATGGAGTTAGAAGTGCAAGAGATTTATTGGAGGAAATGCCTGTGAAAGATAAAAGGAGAGGAAGCAGGATTGGGCAGGGAAAGCCTTTGGATTCCATTGCAGATCTGACATGTATGGGGACAGAGGAGAAGGGAAGGAGGGCTGGGTGAGAAAAGCCTCACATCGCAGTGCTGCTCTGTGAAAGTCTCAGTCAGCCAACAGGGAGCTCAGGTGCAGACTGCCCATAGAAGAGCCCCAGCTGGGCAGAAATGGCCAGGCTCTAGTGCCCCAGCTGTGCCCAGTCATTAGCTGGAGGCTGCCCAGAAAGACAGTGGCATCCACTCCAGTGCTGCAGAGGCTGAAGGTGCTGCAACTGATGGCTGCCACACCTGGGAATTTACTCCCCCCCCCCCCCCCATTTGACTGGGACAGCCCCCACTGCAGACTGGGACAGGAAACCCAATGGGGCAGATGGAACCTGGGACCTGGAGAGGAAGCCCAGGAGGCAGTCTTCATCCAAGAGATCCCAGGGCTAAGGAATAGGAATCTGTGGGTGCAAGACCATCCTCATAAGATTTCTAGGTAGGAGTTCAGCCCTAGCACACCTAGCATAAACTAAGCTCAGCCGCAGGTCTAAGGGAGTAAACAACGAGACCCAAATGTGTCTAAAACTAGACGTATCAGTAGATAGGAAGAGACCCATTAGATTCAATTCGATAGCTTATTAAACTAGGAATAGAAGAGAGACGGAGAGATGGGGAGTCAGGGAGACTACAGAAACCATTCTACCTAATTGAGCAACATTAGAAGCTGTGGTGGGGGCCAGTCCTGTGGCCGAGTGGTTAAGTTTGCACGCTCTGCTTCGGCGGCCCAAGGTTTCACCGGTTCGAATCCTGGGCACGGACATGGCACTGCTCATCAAGACATGCTGAGGCGGCATCCCACATGCCACAACCAGAAGGATCCACAACTGAAAATACACAACTATGGGGCCAGCCCAGTGGCACAGCGGTTAAGTGCGCACGTTCTGCTTCTCAGCGGCCCGGGATTCGCCGGTTCGGATCTGGGGTGCGGACATAGCAAGGCTTGGTAAAAAGCCACGCTGTGGTAGGCATCCCATGTATAAAGCAGAGGAAGACGGGCACAGATGTTAGCTCAGGGCCAGTCTTCCTCAGCAAAAAGAGAAGGATTGGCAGTAGTTAGCTCAGGGCAATTTTCCTCAAAAAAAAAAAAAAAATACACAACTATGTACTGGGGGGACTTTGGGAGGAAAAGGAAAAATAAAATCTCTCTTTAAAAAAAAAGAAGCTGTGGTGGTCTAAAGATATGCACAAAGTCTTGGGTTCTCCTCCCTTCCAATGATGGCGCCTACTCCCCCTCCCCTTCAGTACGAGTCACTTAGACTCGTGCTTAGTCACTTGTTTCCAACAAATAAAATATGGTGGAAGTGACATAACTTCTGAGACTAAGTCCTGAAAGGCATTGTGGCTTCCTCCTTGCTCTGTCTCTGATCATTTGGTCTGGGGAAGCCAGTTGACACGGCATGAGGACACTTAGTCAGCCCTGTGAAGAGGCCCATGTGGTGAGGAACTGAGGCCTCCTGTCAACAGCCCTATGAGTGAGCCACTTGGAAGCAGAGCCTTAAGCCGCAATCAAGCCTACAGACAAGTACAGCACCACCTGACCTTTTTTCTTTTGTGACAGCTTTATTGAGATATAATTTCACATACCATACAATTCATCCATTTAAAGTGTACAATTTAATGGTTTTTAAGTATGTTCACAGTTGTGTAACCATCACCACTGCCTAATTCCAGAACATTTTCATCATTCCAAAAAGATTCCAAAATCCTACAACCAGTAACAGTCATTCTGCCTTCCTCCCTCCCCCAGCCCTCAGTAGCCACTAATCTACTTTATGTGTCTACAGGGTTCCCTATTCTGTACATTTCATATAAAGGGAATCATGCAATATATGGTCTATTGTGACTCGCTTCTTTCAGTTAATGTTTTCAAGGTTCATCTGTATTGTAGCAGATATCAGTACATCATTCCTTTTTTATGACTGGATAATATTCCATCGTATGGATGTACCACATTTTGTTTATCCATTCCTCAGCTGGTGGACATTTGGATTGTTTCCACTTTTTGGCTATTATGAATAATATGTCTATGAACAGTCATGTAAAAATTTTTATGTGGACATATGTTTTCATTTCTCTAGGGCACTTACCTAAGAGTGGAGCTGCTGGGTCATGTGGTAACTCTATCTTTAATCATTTGAGGAACTGCCAGACCATTTCCAAAGTGGCTGCACCATTTTACATTCTCACCAGCAGTGTATGAGAATTCTGATTTCTCCACATCCTTGCCAACATTTGTTATTGTCTGTCTTAATGCCATCCTACTGGGTGTGAAGTGGTTTCTCATTGTGGATTTTTTTGCATTTCCCCGATGGCTAACGATATTAAGCATCTTTTCATGTACCTTTCGGCTATTTGCATATTTTCTCTGAAAAAAATCTAGCAGACATCTTTACTGTAACCTCACGAGGCCCTGAGCCAGAACCACTCCACGAAGCTACTCTTGAATTCCTAACCTTCAGAAATTATGTGAGATAACAAATTTTTGTTGTTTTGAGACACTAAGTTTTGAGATATTTATTAAACAGCAATACGTAATGAACGCAGAAGGATTCAGGAATGCATTATGGGTGCCTACTATTAATGCTTCTGAAAGTCCTGGCCAATGCAATAACACCAGAAAAAGAAATACAAATTGTCAA